GATCGAGGCAGCCGTGGTACATTCTGGTCCCCTGTAACATGTCCCGGGGGAGGATGTGGAGGACTCGAGGGCTGTCGTCCTGGTGGCCTTTAACCCATCGGAACTGAACGTCGATACCCTGTTCCCTGATCTCATCGATAACAGCTCGGCCCTCGACACGGAGGTCAAAGTCTTTGCTATTGCACTGGGGGTCGAAAAGGGTTTCAAGGGCATCGAGGGCTGCTTGGCCATCACAACCAATCGTAATGCATCCCATGGTGATGTCATGGAGGATACAGATGGTGCGCATCACGATGAGTGCCCCAATAATACCTGCCAGTTCACTGCGATGGGAAGAATGGTCGCCCGGGGAACCTGGGACAGAGAACTGGCCGTTGATACGTCCCTTGTGGTCGGCTCCTTCAAGGACGAAAGCTGCAGTGCCAAAAGAATCTTTGTAGGAGCCGTCACTAACCTGAATGCCGGAGCCAGTCATGATGGATTTTGCAATCTGGGAGCCATCATCGGTAAAGCGAAGGTGTCCTAGCGCCCATTGGTCAGAAATTGGGAGCTGATCCAGGGCCTCTTGGAGGGATTGGGAGCACAGGGGCGGTGGCTGGTCCGAGGCAGATGTCGTCACTGTTGAATCGTCACTGTCGGAGAGTCCAGAGGTAGAGTCGTCACTGTCAGAGTAATGCATTGGTTCGTAGTCGCAAGAGGAGTGGTTGAAGAGTAGGACAAGTTCGGGTTCGGTGGGCGAGGCTTGCACCACGTTACGGACCACTGATGCTGTTCTGTAACCAATTGATGTGTGGGCAGGTGCCGAGGGGAGACTGGTGATGGGAGTCGAAGCTTCAGTGTTGGGTTGATGGGGGACTGTCCATGTGCGAGGAACTGTGGATCGCCTGTAGTGGGCACGGCGTCTGCCAGGGTTGATGCGTTCGTATGGGGTCCAGAGGAATCCTTCCCTGCGATACAGGGTATCAGTTTCTGGGTTCCACATCCATGGCCAGAAAGAGATGGGGTCTTCCTTCCAAATGCCGGGTATAAGGTGGGGCCGAATGCGTAGATTCTGTGGGCTACCGTATTGCTCAATGAGACACTCTCTTAAGGCACCTTGCCAGACGAGAATCAACGACGGGGGTAGGGACTTGGGTTGACGGGGCCATTCCATTCGGTGAAGGTGGGGTTCGACTTTGGTTCCGTTGAAGGATTGGGTGCGAAGTTGTTTGCCATCCGCTGTGGCAATATCTGCCACGGTGATGACATTTAGGAACATTCGCATGACATTCAGCTGCTTGAGAGTGTTGGCACTGTATCCGTGCTGAGAGAAAAGATCCATCAGGAATCGGTCATTGGTGCGCTGGGTTTCGAATCTAGCAGTGGTGTCCTCCATTGTAATGCCAAAGTCGTCCATTGACTTCCACAAAGTTTTCATCCAGCAGTCGGTGGTGGAGGATTTGAAGGCTGTGTAGGGATGCTCCGTTAGCTGTCTGTTGGTGCCAAGCTCCATTCGGAGCTGTTCCATTTCCATCTCGAGGAGCTGACCGGTGGTATCCGTGTAGGTAAGTTTTTCCCATACGGTCTGGATGTGCGTGAATTCTTGCCTTAGCCAGGGATGAATTTCCCCCAAACCCTGATACTTCTGGGGTGCAAACAGGACAACACGGGGAAAGTTCCGTGAAATATCACACTTTGGGAGTACCGTTTGCCAGAGGGGTCCGATGACCTCATCCCACTCCGAAAGGGACAGCCGGATGGCTTTCATGGGGTAGTCCAACGTTTTTTGGATGGTGGATTTGGTAACCAGCCACACATCGTTCTTCAGAAATTGTCCACTAGTGCGCACTTTGTTGGTAAAGGCATCCACCCGTTGCTTCAAGTAGGAGACTTGTTGGGTCGAGTTTCCATCTGGCGCGGGCCAGAATCCAAGCCACCTTTCTGCCTCCGTAGGCTCTTTGCGGGACATTGGCTTGCGGCCACCATCCTTGTCATGGACCCACAGTTCGCCTGGCAAGTCCGCAATGGAGCGGTAGGTCCATTTGAGGAGGGAAGGGACCCAAGTGTAATCCAGCATGTAGAAGTACGACTTCTCTTGATTGATGGCACCGCCAGTGGCTCTTAATGTACCCTCCCACGTGTCTGCTGCCTCCTGTGCTCGTGGGAAGACATCTTTGCCAGAGCAGTGCTGGGTCTTCGCAGAGACGCATTGGTTGTTGTCATCAATGAATATCTGTGCCATGAGACTGATAAGTTTTGGGGCAAGCACACTCATGAAGGCAACAGTAAGACCCAGGGCTCGAACACAATCAATGCATTTGGCCGACAGGATGGCCCAAAAAGCACCTGCATCGCCGGTGCCTTGTCCGACTCCCTGGATAGGTTGAAGACCCTGTTCGGTGCATTGGGTGCCACCATAGGACTGTTCAGAAACCCCATAAGCCGTGGAGACAAAGTGACGTGTCTGCTGGTATGTGCCGAAACGGTAGTTCAAAGCTGTTTGTGGGATTCCAACAGAGCGGGCAGCAAGAATTGCGGGGACATGGTTTATTCTGTCGTAGCACTGGCTCGCATCGAAGGGAATCATAGCCATGGTCCAGCGCTTCATGCGTGACACGTCCAGAATCAGCACACTGTTCAGGCCAAGCTCGGCTCGATGCAAATGCGGCCCTTTCGTCCCCCACCTTGTTCCTCCGGCATCTGGTGTTGGGATTCGGCGCGGTACATCCTCATCAAGCGCCCGAGTCGCTTGCAACACATGTTGTAGTATGTGTCCAACAAGAAGATGATTCGCATTTTCTCAGCCTCATATACGCCCGGTTTCTTCAGGAGTGCCAGATCAGTAAGTACCGTTTGGGTCTCTGGCAAAAAACCAATGATCATCGGGGTGTTGTGGATGATAGTGTCCACCATTGCAATCTCTGCACATTTCACTCCCATCATCAGGTGGGCAAAGGAAAGGGTAGATGGTTCGCTAGCAGTGTTCACTGGCTGTACTGTCCATGCCTCTAGGAGGGATTCAGGGGTCCACTCGAGTTCCTCTTTGGTCATTTCCTTGACTGCCTCTGGGCATCGGAGAGCATTGATCAACATCCTCGTGTACCTATCAGTGCCAGGTGGGGGTTCATAGGAGCCATTCAGGATTGCATCAGCAGCAGGAGTATCAGCAAGGGGCCGAAGTCTTTGTCCATCGGGGGTGTTGTGAAGGGGGATTCAAGGCATCGCGTCATTCGAATTTCACCTTCTCTGGTGGCAGCAATGCCCATATCATCCTGAGTACTGCATTCCACGATTCTGGTGGTGTCAGAGATAGGTTCGTATTCCGAGTAGAAAAGTTTCATGGTTCGTTCTCGCTGGGCACCTTTCTTGGTGAGTGCTCGTTGTCTTCTAGCCATGTCCCTTTGGCGCTCTCGTTGTTGCAGCTTTTTGAGTTCCTGGGCACTGGTGGTACCGTATTGCTCGGCCCGGGCTGTAGAAACTTCTTCCGTAGAGACGGGGCCTTTTTCTTGGCCTTGTACCAGTCGGCGTTTGCCTTGGCGCTTCTTCGTCTGGCTTCCTCCAGAGTGATCTCCCACGCATCGGTGTTGGAGCATCGAGTCATTTGTCGGCGGAGTTTCTTCCTACTGATTTTGAGTCGGAGTTTGAGCTTCAACACACTGTCCCAGAGTTTCTTCCGGTTCATTATGGTCTGAATCTCAGGGCTCCATGGGACGCCTCCTTTCCTGCTGTTTCTCATAGATCTTTCAACCATCAAGCGTACCTGACGGTTGATGGTGGCAATTTGGTGGTGTAGTCGTTGGATCCTGGTTGATGGGGCGTTGTCTTCAATCATCTTGATGAGGTTGTCAACCTTCTCGAATAGATTGTGTTGCTTGTACCCTGCTATCACCTGTTTGTGGTAGTAAGCAACCACTCGGGGGTCATCCAGTTGGAGTACACTGGGATTCATCTTGTGAAGGTTGGGCGGGGAGTGTTAGTTGCTCTAAGCTCTCTTCTAGTTTACTTGCTATTGAGATACTACTGTAAAAGTGGGTGGGCTCTGTATTTCATGGTATTTCTACTGGCATGAAATTCTAGTACAGAGGTACAGGTTCAATCCCTAATCGCGAATCCCCAACACACTCCTGTGGTCGTCGAGCTTGTCCTAGTCGTCGACCATGCTTACTTACTTACTCCGCTTAGCGCTCCTTCTTTGAACGGACCTTCTTGTCCGACCGTGACCCTCCTTCTGAGTGCCCTGGCTCTGAGTGTTCACAACACCCATCAACTTGTCCACGTTCTGTTTGAACAGTCGACCTTGGTTCGGCTTCGTCCAGAAGTCCGCAGCCATATCATCAGTTGGACACAGTCCACACTGATCTCCTTCTTTCGATTCTGTCGCTCACAAAGAAGTACCTAATGTTGATGTGCTTCGTTCGTTTACTACTAGAAGCTTTGCCGTTCTTCTCTAGAAGGATGGCACTCTTGTTGTCCTGATAGACTATAGTTCTTTAACTACATAGCCTTGCTCCAGAAGGAACTGCCTCGTCCAAAGGATCATGGCATCAGGTCATCAACTGCTACGAGTTCACTCTCAGTCGAGCTTCTCGTGTTCAACTTCTGTTTCGTCGAAGTCGATAATGGGTAACCGGTGCCCATGGTCAACCACCTCCGGTATGACCCCTCATGTTTGGATGGACTGCGAAAGAACCATTAACATACCATTTCAATATGCCACTTCCGTCGGCTTTGAGAACTAAAGAGCAGTCACTAAAAATATAGGTCGCACTATGGTCGTTCCCAAATAGATACCTATCTGGTCGACCCAAACGGCGACCTTTTTCATTCACTAAAATTGGGTCGCCATATCGTCGACTGATACCTAATTGACCAATCAATCACTAAAATTTCGGTTGCAACATAGGTCGCGAAACGGTCGTTCGTTCCGTGGAAACTTTCGCTCGAGCTCATTTCGCTCACTCATCAGTGTGCTTTATTGATTGCTTTGGTTGCTTTGGTTGCTTTGGTTGCTTTGTTTGACAATGAAGACTGCAGGAGCTAAGGGAAAGGGAGATGGCTTTGTGGAGAAGCACAACAAGGCCGCAGCAGACATCAGGAAGAAGCGTCAAGATGAATCTGCCGCATCAGTCAAGTCATCATCTGATGAAGAAGAAGAAGAAGAAGTAGAGGCAGTTTCTACACCTGCCAAGAGTACAGGAGCCATAGCAAGAAGCGTGGCAAGGATTTTGACGAGGAAGAGGAGTCGGATGACGATTCTGACGAAGATGATGACGACGATGACGACGAAGCTGACGATGACGACGTCCCCTTGAAGAAGATTGCTGCCGCCAAGCTGCCGCCAAGAAGCCCACTGGCAAGCCTCCATTGCCTCCAAGGAAGAGGACCAAAAAGGGGGATGCTGTGAAAGCTCCTGAGCTCGTACCAGTCAAGAAGGAGACTCTCAATGCGGCCAACCTCAAATGGACTGAAGAAGAGGATTCCATTTTGGCCGGGCCTTCCGCAAAACCACAACAAACCTTGTCAAAGGTGCCAAAGAAAAAGGAGATGTGTTTTGGGGAATTTGTGTTTGAACTACAATGCAATCCGACAGGAAGAAGATCCCCAATTGACTGCGAGGAACCAGAAATCATGCCAGAACCGTTGTCTCGGCACATGTTGCCTTGTATGAACCACTTCATTGGTTGCTGGCGCTTTGTGAAAAAACCCTTGAAGTCTGGATGGTCTGAAGAGGACTACATCAATGCTGCAATTGCCGAGTACAAGGACAAACTCAATAAGGATTTCAAATTCGCCGGTGTCTTGGATACCTTGAAGGCACTTCCTAGATTTGATCCAATATCAGTGACGAAGAGGCAGCTGATATTGAGAATCGTGTTGTTGATCTTGGATCCGATAAGGCTGCTCCTGCTTCTGATACCAATGAAGTCGCCTCTGTCATGGGAACTAATCAGCCTCGTCCTACTGGAAACAAACAGACGAAGCTCAGTTGAAGAATACATTGGATATCAATCTTATCGAGGACCGAAGATTGCTGCTATGGATCGTATGACAATTAGCAACCGTGAACAGAATGCGATTCAAGCCAAGAAGCGTGCTGTCTCTCAGGCCTATTCGTTTGCCAAGACCTTGAAAGATTTTGGCCGTATGGATGAAGCGAACCAGAAATTGGACGAGGCCATGATTTTGGAAGCGACTCCACTTGAACACTTTCTTATGAATTGTGCCCCAACCACTGTTACTGCTACAGGAACTGCCAACATTCTTTGACCAATGCTGCCTGCAATTCCTCGTGATTCACGTGCTTTTCACGCAGCCCATTTCTCTCGTCTCGATAGTTTGTATTTCCAATTACTGCGCCCTCAAATCCAATCTAGAGGGTGTCGGCTTGGCTAGCTCTTGAAGCCCAGCACGATCTGATGGTATCGCAATTTCGCCTTCTTCAATGATCGAGTTGCAGGATTGTAACGGGCTCGACAATGCACCTTCCATCACTCGGTCCGAAGCACACATATTATGCAGCAATATGCAAGTCGTTACTCTCTTACCGATCTTCTCAATTTCATTTCCATCAAAGGACGGTGTGTGTATTGAATTTTCCCTGAAGCACACCAAAGGCACGCTAATATCTTTCCGTGCTGACTCCTGCATTTGGTGAATGTTCTCTCGCTCTCCACGGATAAACCAACTACCCACCAAGTTGTTCGGTAATGCCCTTGACAAACCTTTCCAATGGAGGGTAATTCCTCCACCAAGACATAAGTTCGGTGGAATTGCTGATTGGCAATCTTGAAGGGCACGGCAGTAACTTCATGGCCTCAAAAGATCCATCCACCAACGATTCGAGGAACGGTAAATTTCAGAATTGTTTTGTCATTCAGCGTTCCTACGTATCCCATACGAGGCATGCCAAAAAAATAATTGCTGGTCACAGATCGCCTCCAAAACAATCGTTGGCTTCCCTTTGGCTCCCAAATAGCTACCCTGCCATCCAACAGGGCAATTCTTCCAAATCGTGTGCATGCAATCAAGAGAACCAAACATTCCGTCAATTCCATGGGTTGCTTTGTGGCATTCCTTCGCCCTGGCATGATCGTACTTCTTCCTTTCTCGTCTTGGCAGCGTACGGTGATCAATGAACTCTCCAGGACCATCAACAGAGCTATCAATAGCAAGTCTACGACGACTTGATCCGTCATGGCTCGCCTAGTTGCCCCAGAGGTGAGTTCGTCCCAATCCTCTTCCTCTTTCAGCGAGCTCTTTGAGCTTCTACGGCTCATTGCTACTTCTTCCATGGGATATCCTTGTTGGCAGTTATTGCTATGCCTGTTGCTATGCCTGTTGCTATCCTGTTGTGAGGCTTTTGTGTGTTGATGTGGCTACAACCAAAACAGCGACCTGGTCGATCCACTGGTCGCCAAGTGACCTTGAATCGACCAGTGGAACGACCGGTCGATTTCGTCGCAACCTAAACCTCGACCGAAATGAGTTAGTGACTGAATAGGTTTCGATTTGGGTTCCAGCTAAAAACCAATCGACCAAATATTGGGTGTCGACCTATTTTTTAGTGACTTGCTCTAATGGTAGTTTTCTAGTATCGTCTAATGTACTGCATGGGGTGGACTAGTTTATCCCATCGTGCCTATCTGGTCCTTGACTCTAGTCGTGAGGCACGATACTTCTGGTTGTGTTGGGCTCTCTTCGTAGCGATAAAACCTTAGCCACCAGGCTGTTGAAAGGTGTCTGCCTTGCTCTTTGGAGCTTTTTGCAGGATTCGTTCTACTATGAATAGGTCTTTCGGGGCTGCACTACTTCTAGTTTTCGTGCCCCCTTCCTCTGGCGATGCCTTTCGAAGGCTTCCAGGATTTCAGTCAACGTACTGTTACATTGATACGTTGCATTGACCCTTCGTCGTAAGTCTATGGTCATGCCAAAGATACGTGTGGACCTTTCCGCGGCTCACGTTCATCTCTCCAGTTCCGTCCTCGAATATGCTTCGTATTCATCACGAAGCACTTGAGACAGCTGGTCGTTAACCTTCGAGTCCTTGTGGCTAAGCTTACAGTCGTCTACATGCCAGCAGACTGTTTGTTGCTTGCGTGCACCATTCTGTTGGCTACACATTGGTCGTAAGGATTAATCTTAAATCCGTTCCGGACCATCGTCTTCCGGAACTTACGGTAGTATAGTAGGCTAGCTACCATGGTCCGTAGATGGCATTCAAGCATTCAGTAGCAACTGCTTGTTGCCTTTCTTATCGTTGTCACGAACGGTTTGTAGACATCTGGGCTATTTCACACAGCATGTCTACTAGACTCCTCTTACTCTAATGATTACCATATCTTTTTCATCCTCGACTCGTGTCTGGATGAAGGCGTTCTGGATTGTCAATTACTGCCACATCTCTTTCCTCTTCAGCGTCGATTATGAGGAGAGTAGCACTTCTTCTGTCGACACTGTTGTCGAGCTTGCGTCTTCCTTCGAGATGAAGTCACGCTGTTTGTTGCCTCCTGCAACCGCTCGGCCTTGATCTTCCCGTTCCTTTTCAACTTTAGGAACAGCTGTGACTCTAGGATACTCTGGCGTTCCATATGTCGCTGAGTTCTTCCATTTGCTTCGGACGGAAGGTGTCCCTGAGATGTAACTGTTTCATCTCGGCAAAGGCTTCATCGTGCGCTTTGTCCTTCACCTCCTTGAGTCCAGCCTTCAATGACAGCTGTGTCATGATGGCTGCTACCACATCAGGTTCTTCTTCTACCTGTGGTGTAGAACATGTGTGCATCTGGGTGCAAGACACGTTCAGTTGTATGGACGTTTGGCGTCTCATACTTCTTTCCATCAAAGCTGGGAATATACGATTCCTTTGCTTGTGTCCTCACTCTACTAGACCTACGCACTCCTGGCATCTGCTCAGGTGCCACTTGGGTTTCAACACCCACTCCTGGGATCTGTTCCAGGGGCTGTTGGTCCGTAGTAGGTTCCGGTTCCTCTACCGTTTCGATGATAGGTTGGGTAACCGGTTCCGTTTCGATTTTCGGTTCAACGCCGATTTCATTCGGTTCGTTGACTATCGATTCGGCGTCGTCGTTTGGCCTGCGTGTTAATCGTCGGGATCATCTTCCATTTCGTCAATGGTTTCGGCGTCCGCGTCCAGGTCCTCATCGGTTTGGAGCATTGGTTGTGGGGGTGCGTCATTGCTCTCTTCCCTTCCACTCCTGTGCTCTTGACATCACATATGGGTCTATTTTTTCGATCTCTGGTGATGGGCCGCACCGTTGGCAGAGTGTTGGAGGCAGAGGCAGATTACCTCGGCCGCTGGACAAGGACGGTTCTATCATGCAAAGTGGAAAGCGACTATCAGTTTACAATGTGTATACTGTGACCGATGGGAGTGTTGAGAGGGCTGGTGATAGGACCGTTCTGGCCCAACTCCATGCCATCTATGTACAGGAATCACGCAGTCCTAGATCCAAGGAGGAACCACTATGATGATCTTCAGGAATGCGTGGCCAATGACATCTCAAATGGTCATGAGATTATTGTGGGTGGGGATTTCAATGACGACTTGGCAAGAGGACGGAAGGGGCTATCGGGACTGGTCTCCGATTGCAAGCTTGTAGATCCGATTTTCTACAATCACGGAATCAGCGACTTTAACACCTATGTCAGAGGCAGTAAGGTAATCGATTACATCTTCGTTTCTGAAAACCTCTTGGATGCTGTCGACGCTTGTGGGTACCATCCGTTCTGTGACCACTTCTATAGTGACCACCGTGCCTACTTTGTTGACTTCGACTTGAAACAGCTGTTCGGTCGATCATCTAAGAAGCGCATTTTGGGCAAAGTGGATATTATGGGGAAGGCGCACAAAACGCTGGATCAAATTTTAGCGACTCATTTATGTGGGTCCCTTATCATGTCGAAGGGCATTATTTTACCCACATACGCCAAATCATGTACTCGTTCACAGCTCATATTGCCCAAATGAACAAACATAATGTCCCTGCGAGTCCGTCATATTTTTGTGAAAGTGCGTCGAAAAAGTGTGCTCCGTACAGAGATCTGGCGGTACGCCCCTTTATTCCAGTGCGTGGATATTGGGCGCAAATGCCTCCAAAAAGTGAGCTTGGGTAAGTTATAGGACGGCACGTAGCTTTGCCGGAGTCCCCGGACATTTTGCGCAGGTGCATACAAATAGTGAGCACAAGCCGCAAAGGGCATCACAGAATTTTACCCAATGGCGCTGAGATCGTATGCAAGACGCCAAAGATCGCGTGCACAAGCCGACACAACCATACCTAAATTATCCGTCATTACTTTGCCCAAGTGAACATGACTACGACAACAATGACAAAGCAGTTTACAACTAGATAATCGTTAACTTAGTTATTAGCTCAGAAAACAGTACCATTTAGTAGGAGAGGACAATAGAAAGCAGGGCTGAGCAGGAATGTCTTTGGTTGTTGCAAAAACAGTTCGCAGAAAGTCACAGGAACGTGAAGCAAACACTGCAGAAAAAATGTCCAATTGGATGAACAGATCTGCCGACTTGCCCAAACCTTTTTCAGAAACCAGGGCAGAAAGATCCATCAGAGGGCGAGAAATGCCCAAATGGCCAAACAAAGATGCTCTCACATGTATGCATCGTCATCTTCATCGTCCAAGGTGGTAAACGTCTTGGCCTTTTTAGCCTGGAGCGGCTCCAAGGCGTTCTTGGCTCTGCCCTTGTTGGCCTTGTTGAGTTTCTGCTGTTGCTTGTGGGAGCAACAGGTTTGCCCATTTGCAATGCGCAAAAGCCCCAGAGTCTTCTGCTCCACACTGATAATGCTGCCCGTATGGGCACTGGAATGGGCCTCTGTAGTCATCATCCTCATTTTTTTTTTGTTTGGATGTATTGGTTGTCAGGCTTCCAAAATATTCCGGGCATATCTTCGGGCCTTCTCCCAAGCCTGATGGATCATGTTCATGTGCGCTCTTTTGGCGTGCTTTCTGAAAAAGAAAGGCATCAGAGCATGGTCAGAGTGCGTCGGCAAATATGTTCATCCAATTGGACAATTCTTCTGCAGTGTTTGCTTGTACTTCCCTCCTTTGCGTCACGTCATGCGCTGTGTGTGACCTCTACTGCGGTTGTGCTCCGCGGAAAAACTGTTTCACTTTCAATCAGTAGCAGCCAAAGACTATTCTCCTGCTCAGCCCTGCCGTGCTTTTTCTATTTTACCCTTTCTGGCTTCACTGTTGTCCCCATAAACTAAAATCAAGTACTATTCTCT